TTTATTATTTGGTGTGAAATGATGGTAAAACAGTGCTCGAGAGATAAGGTTATTTATTATTTGGTGTGAAATGATGGTAAAACAGTGCTCGAGAGAGTAAGGTTACTTATTATTTGGTGTGAAATGATGGTAAAACAGTGCTCGAGATATAAGGTTATTTATCATGTGATGTGAAATGATGGTAAAACAGTGCTTGAGAGGTAAGGTTACTTATTATTTGGTGTCAAATGATGGTAAAACGGTGCTTGAGAGATAAGGTTACTAATTATTTGGTGTCAAATGATGGTAAAACAGTGCTCGAGATATAAGGTTATTTATTATTTGGTGTGAAATGATGGTAAAACAGTGCTCGAGAGATAAGGTTATTTATTATTTGGTGTGAAATGATGGTAAAACAATATCTCGAGCACTGTTTTACCATCATTTGACACCAACTAATTAGTAACCTTATCTCTCAAGCACTGTTTTATCATCATTTCACATCACATGATAAATAACCTTATCTATTGAGCATTGCTTTACCATCATTTCACACCAAATAATAAATTACCTTATATCTCGAGCACAAAACAGTGCTTGAGAGATAAGGTTACTTATTATTTGGTGTCAAATGATGGTAAACAGTGCTCGAGAGATAAGGTTATTTATTATTTGGTGTGAAATGACAGTAAAACTGCTCGAGAGATAAGGTTATTTATTATTTGGTGTGAAATGATGGTAAAACAGTGCTCAAAAGATAAATGTTGCTATTTCAATAATTTTTCAAATTCACCTTTACATGAATTTTATGGAACAATACAAGGTGCTTCACAATTTATCTAGAAAAAACAAAACAATGTTTAACTACATACACGTGTTTGTACTGAAAGCAATTGATCAAGTGCACATATCCACATGAGAAAAACAAAGAAATATAAGCTGAGACATTTTTAATTATATAAAAACGTCTGTTTTGCATGCAATTATCAAGAAGTTATGTTTCACATATGTACTTGCCTATGAAAGCTTATGAAATAATAAATAAATAAAACACAACATTAAAATCAGTAAACAATTAAAAACATTACTGAAATGTGGACTCTACATGTTTTGACTTTTACCACCTCATCATCAAGTGTGAACTTGCAAGACATGTCATATTTATTTCTTCTTATCTAGATCATGTGACCTGTGTGTAAGTTTACATTTCTGTATAAATCTACGAGGATGACCTGCCACATTCTTACACAGACATTTGCCGGACCTTTGTCTCTACTTAATAATTCATTATCTTTTTTAAACATTATTATTTCTAAAGACTCTTGGATATTATTGGCTCTAATACCCATTGGTTGAGCCAATATTACTGTTTTTTCCCATAATATCTTATATTGTGTTTTTTGTACGTTTTGCTACGGCCAAATTTTCAGTCCTTTAATTTTTTTTAACATCTCTTATGTTCTACTACACAAAATTTTAAATTACATTTTGTCTGTCCAAGATAAACATTTCTACATTCACATTCAATTTTATAAATTCCAGCTTGTTCCGTTAACTGTATATTATTTTTAGCATTACCTAAGATTTGTTTTATCTTATTCATTGGTTTGAATAGAGAGAGTAACATATCTGTTGTTTTTTTAAACACCACTTTGAATAAACTAGAGTTAAATCTTGAACATAAGGCAATACTAAACATTCCTTTTATCACTTTTAACTTTATTATAACTCAGTTTTAAGGTAATATCTTGAACATAAGGCAATACTAAACATTCCTTTTATCACTTTTAACTTTATTATAACTCAGTTTTAAGGTAATATCTTGATTCATTATTCCCATATTAGGAAAGTTCTTAACTGCTCTATCTACAATAGTTGGTTTAAATCTTTCAACTGCTGTATATTTCATTAGTAACAACTCATTTTGTAAGCCATCTTGTTTTGTACATATCTTCAAATTTCTATGAACATAAGTGTAAAATGCAGACTTTTTTTGTTTCAGTAATGACATGATTCCTGGTGTGGTGGCATAACAAGAGAAGAATGTTTCAGATAAGTAAATGTTTCTAAATTCCCTTGTTCATTCCTTTTTATGAGTACATCTACAAAAGTCAAACTATTATTTTTCTGAATTTCATAAGTTAACATTTTCTAACCCTGAAAATGTATTTCCGATAAGTACTTACTTTCTCACCGAAAGCTATCTCAACCTTCATTTGCCATCTAAGCATTGCTAAAATTTTCAACAGCACATCAGTCTTTTATACCCCTATGTTTATTGCATCATTGTAGCAACATGTGCTGATCAGGTGACTACTTTCCACCAACCATACTGCACCACCTATAATACTAGCACAGGTAGCTCCCTCTACCATTGCAGCACAATCCTCACTTTTCGAGAATTGGCATATACAAATGTGAAAACACCAGCAAATCAATGGGGAGGAAGGGTGGGAAGTTGGTCAGTGGAGGTAAGTACCTATCAGAAATACACTTTCCGAGTTAGAAAATGTTGACTTCCGACACAGTCCTACCTCATCTCACCCAAAGCTAGAATTCCACATTGGAAAGATTGAGGGGCCGGTGAAGGTGCAAAAAACAATCAAACAAGCAGAGAAAAACTGCCAAGTAAAAAACAGGTGTGTCACAAGTAAAATAAAAGGCATCTGTAGGGTATAGCACTACTTCTGGAACAGGTATGCTCTACACCCAGTAAAGAAGAAAGGAAAACACATATGATGGAATTGAATAAACTACATGGCTAGGGTTAGAGGACCATATATGAAATGTTTCTAATTGTGTAGCAGTTTTAATATTGTGTACTATTTGTTTATTGTTTTAACAATTGCCATGAAAATAATATCAAAGCATATGAATTTTGAGACAATACACTTTTAGATCTAAAGTTGGTAACTTAGATTTTTTTTTAATTTTACAATTAGAAAGTGTTCTATGATTTCTCCACATTTTCAAGGAAAAAGAAAAAGAGTACTCAATTTTACATGTATAATTTCGTTGCTTCTACCCACCAACAAAATGAATAGAGAACGTCTGAAATATTTGATTAATAAAATAAGTATTGAATTAGTAAGAGAGGTAGACAATACCTTTCTTTCTAACTCACTTAAACTGTGTACCTTGTTTCTTAATATTTTGGTACTTTAAATAAACGAGTTCAATGATGGTTTGTGTTTACATCAAATAAAGATTACTATTTTTCTCTTAAAAAAAGTATGATTTTCATTTAGTGACACTGGTTATAAACCATTAGCAAAAGACTATACATTACAGTACTAGATGTGATACAACTGCTCCTTTCAAAGATAAAATTATCTTCACTCAGCAAACCCCCCCTTTTTTTTACTCACCTGATTAAACCAACGAGATAAATGTAGATATTTTTCTTTTTCTTGGAATGTCAAACTTACCTGAAAATGTTAAAACACATATCTCATCAGTTAAGCTATTCTGAATTTTTATCTGTTTGTGAAAGAAAACTCTTAACTTAAAACTTAACTTCCTAATTGATAAAGCTACACAAATAATTATGTAGAAAAGATTAAGATATTTTTCTAAAATACTCTGTAGTTTGCTGAGGTTTCAAAGCTGTTGGGTGTTTTTCTTTAAATAATGGTATTAGTATATATTTATTGAAATGTAAAAATAAAGGATAAGATTTCTGCATAACCCCTGTAAAATAGCTGTAGCGTCATAAGAAGTTTAAATGAATCAAAATATAAATGGATTGTTACAGTGTGGAATCAAAATGTGTTTTAAACAAGTATCTGTCACTCACATCACATCTTAGTTTACCTTATTTGTGGTCCAGAGCTGTGGCTCTTAATAACATTAAACATGTTCTTACACATTACATAAGTGAAAATACTGTTGTAAGCTTTATTTTAATTTTTTAAAATTTAGGTGTTAGCTAGAGGGCACATGATGTTAATATCAAGTTCATAAAAGTAGACCAAGAATACCTAAAAAGTTCATGATGATGTCAAGATCTAATAAATTCAACTATAATCTATACGAGTGCATCAGTTATAAATACAAGTAAGCAGTTAGTTTAGTTTACTGACTTATAGTTAAAACTGCAATTACGAATTGTCCAAGGGAGTTGAAATGGTGAACTATTTGGTTTACTAGGAAGTACAGGTTAACACAAGTTCCATACATTTAAATATTTGGATTGAGGTTACAATACTATAAGAACACAAGTTACATAACTTGTTACAGTTAACACAAGTTACATAATTTTAGTTCTTTGGATTGAGGTTGCAATTTTATATGAACACACTTTACATACGCTTAGTTCTTTGGATTGAAGCTATAATTATATAAACACACGTTACATACACCTAGTTCATCAAATTGAGGTTACAATACTATAAGAACACAAGTTACATAACTTGTTACAGTTAACACAAGTTACATACTTTTAGTTCTTTGGATTGAGGTTGCAATTTTATATGAACACACGTTACATACGCTTAGTTCCTTGGATTGAGGTTACAATTATATACAAACACACGTTACATACACTTAGTTCATCAAATTGAGGTTACAATTATATACAAACACACATTACATACACTTAGTTCATCGATTTGAGGTTACAATTATGTATGAACACACGTTACATACACTTAGTTCATCGAATTGAGGTTACAATTATATACAAACACACATTACATACACTTAGTTCATCGAATTGAGGTTACAATTATATACAAACACACGTTACATACACTTAGTTCATGGAATTGAGGTTACAATTATATACATACACTTAGTTCATTGAATTGAGGTTACAATTATATACAAACGTCAAATCTCCCTGTAAGTCTGCAGCATCTTTGATATAGTTAGCCACCCCAAAAATCTTAATGTCATCTGCAAACTTCAAAATCTTGTTCGTCATTCCAGAGTCAATATCATTAATACAAGTCACAAACAGCAGAAGACCCAGTACAGAGCCATGAGGCACACCACTTGTAACTGTTACATTTCACCCACACCCATAGATTAAATTTTTGTAACAAGTCTTTTGTAAGGCACCTTATCAAATGCTTTCTGAAAATCAAGGTAAACCAAATCCACAGCATTTCGTGCATCAACTCTTCCAGTAACATCCTTAAAGAATGTCAGAAGATTTGTTAAACAAGACTTTTCCTTAGTGAAACCATGCTGCCTCTTTGACACTATATCAAACTGCTTTAACTGACTCTGCAATGCATCTTTAATAACACTCTCCAAAACCTTTCCAACTGCTGATGTAAGACTAAACTGGCCTATAATTTCCTGGACAATGTTTATCACCTCCTTTAAATATTGGACTAACATTAGCCAACTTCCAATCTTCTAATACTCTTCCACTCCTCAATGACCTATAAAAAATACTAGCTAGTGGTTCACAAATAATATCTTTAAGTTTCTTTAAAACTCTAGGATAAAAGTTGTCTGGTCCAGGGGATTTATCAATTTTGAGGTTTCCCAACTTGAGGTTAATGTTGTTACCATTTTGCAGAATGATGTATGTGATATTCGATTATCCACAGACATAAATCATTCAATGTAAAACCAATAAAGGAACTCAATAACCTTTTGTCTTGTAAATCGTGGAAAATTATACTCTTTTTCTCCATCTAAGTAAATTTTCTTTGTACCCCAAGATAAAGGCAAAACTCTATCAGGACTCAAACTAAATTTGACAGCTTGTTTGACAACACTGGGATTATATCTTGCCACAGAGCAAACTGGATTTACAAACTCAAAACCTTGTGTCAGTTTCTAGTAATGTCGATTCGCAGTATCAAATGCTTTTCTACCCACTCCAAAAGCTTCTGCAGTCGTCTGTGTCATAGTTTGACATTGAAGCACCGTAACTACTTTCCTCTGAACTGATTTTTCTAGTAAGGCTGCCTGTACATCTCTCACTGCTTCCAAAAGTTTATCTTTCTTACCACTTCCAGCAATTACTTCCCCAACAGCCTGTAATAATCCATCAGAGTCTTTTAGTAATGGCTTAGAACATGGCACTCCTAAAGCTTTCCTACAAAATGTAATAAGCCAAGCTTTTCTTTCCAAATCATTGAACACTGATGTATCACACGCTTGTTCTGATGGAATATTCGATATGGTCATATATTCTATTCCAAGAAATGTCTGAACAGCATGCAAGTCAGCTCCTGATAAACAATTTGTACCAATCAAAGTACATGATCTGGATTTGTGCTTTGTTCTTGATCTCTTTGTAGCCTTAGTTGATTTGGCAGGTACAAGATCCATGTCTTCATTATCCATGCCATCAGAACAATCCATATCACCGCTTACTTGCATTATAGGAATTGGATTTTCAATATCACTAGAACTGCTCATGTCATTTGTGTAATCGATATTATCTTTTTGCCGTTGTCATGCTAACGCTGCTTTCTTTGCTACACTCACATGTTGCTTTCCTCCTGCAGTACATTGTAATTTGACTTGTGGATCTAATACATCATATCCACAACCATATCTACTGCACTTAAAACAAGTAGCACAGCGCTTAACTTTACATTTTAATGGCTTCATTTCTTACTAATCTATACCTCAGAAGTATGGACAAAATCCTGATGAAGCTTGGATCTCAGATCATCCTTAAAGATGAAAAGAATTGCAATCAATGACTTTTTCCAAGCACAAATTTTAACCAATCAAAAGCAATTACCGGGATGACTTGAAAATTTTGGCTCTGCCAAACCTAGTCTCCCTGGCTCACGGAACCACTGTTAAAATGATATATTTTACATCTATATTTTTCCCATACATTTATGCTCTGGTTCAGGCATAATACTTGTATCTTCCTTCATAAAAATTGAAAAGAACATATAATTTAATAAGTTTACCATCTCATAATATTCTCAGATCAGTTCCCCACTATCATTTGTAAGAGGCTCAATCCCCATCCTAACATTTCAGTTGCCATCATATACCTAAAGAATTCCTTATTGTTTAATTTAACTCTCTCAGCCAACCCTCTTTCATATACAGTTTTTGCCCTTTCAATTTCCTTTTTGAACCAGCTCTCTGGATTTCTTATAGTTCTTCATGTCCTTATTATTTTCAATAAGTTTAAATTTCTTGAATTTATTATGTTTATCTCTTATGTTTATGATCTTTTAAACCTTTACTCAACAATACTGGCTTATTCTGCTCCATTGCTCTTTTCTTCTGTAGGGAATATATATATGTAACAATTTTTCCCCAAATTCTTCCCACATCTGTTCAAGATCCCCTCCCAACTCTTTAGTCCAATCTACAGAAGCCAGATCATGTCTCATTCCATCAAAATTGGCTTTCCTGAAATTTGGAATCAGGGTACGATTCTTCTTCAATTTTACATGTAGTAAAATCCCAAACCTAATAGTGAAATGGTCACTAACCACAACTCTGTCTATCATATTCACATTAGATGCTAATATCAAATCTAATATAGCTTCCTCTCTTGTAGGTTCCATCACCAGTTGGTGTATAAAAGTACAAAATTACAAAAGTACAAAAACAATTTCCAAAAACCTATCCCCCTCACCATCAGACTCAAAATTATCCCAATCAATACCCCTGAAATTAAAATCTCCCATAATAACAACATCTTTTTCAGCCAACATTCTAATCTCATTATGCAATTTCTCATTAACTCTTAGATTCTAATCTGGTGGTCTATAACAAATCCCAATTACAAGGCTTTTCCTTTTATATCGACTAACACCAACCCAAACTGACTCAACCTCAGTGCTATTTTCTTTAATATGCTCTAACTCAACAGGATAAAATTCACTCCTCACATATAAAGCTGCTCCTTCCTCTTTTTTCAATACTCTATCTCCAGTAAATAATCTGTAGCCTGGTATTTCAAAAAAAAGTTTCCCCTCATCAAAATTATTCAAATCCAACCAAGTCTCCATGATATACATAATATCAAAATCCTCAATTTCCATAACTGCTTTGAACTCATCAATTTTATTTCTAATACTACTAGCATTACAACAGTAACAATTAATGTGTTTTATGCCTGTTGTACATTTCCCTGTCAATTATATTTCCTATTTTACTAATATCATAGCCTTCACTTTTGTCTAGCTCTAGTATAAACCTACTACTATAGCTGAGTTAATAGCCCTTGTTAACATGCTAGCCCCTACCTTGTTTAAGTGTAAGCCATCCATTTCAAAAAGATTAACTTTCCCATTAAAATTATCTCACAAATCCAACCAGCCTATTTGCTCATACCTACATATAGATCTAAGCCTGGCATTCAATCCTAGTGACCTACTTGGTATCTCATTCCCACAATTTATTCTTGGCAATATCCCTGACAAAAATCAAGCTATGAGCCCTTTTTTTAAATGCCCTTATCAATGCTTTATACTTATCAATAAGCTCGTCAGATCCATCTTTCCTTACCTCATTAGTCCCAGCATGTACCAGGAAAACTGCATTGCTACTAG